CAACAACTTTCTAAACACTAAATCCCTTTCTCCTTTGTGTGCCTTGAGAGGTTTTCCTATACCAAACACAAATGACAGAATCACATGATATATTTAATGTCTGGTAGAACAATCAGGTAGGACCACTACATACATACATACATACATACATACATACATGCATACATACATACATAGAAGCACTAGGGGGTCTGAGATGCCCATGAGACTAAAGAATTGTACAGCTACAAGCTTGTAGTGTTCGCCTGCTAGAATTGTAAGCACCCAAATCCAGCCTGTGAGATCTGGTTTATGGGCTGCACCCAGCAAATCCATGAAGCTGGGCCTCTCCAGGAACTTGTGGTCCTGATTCCTGTGCAGTGTGTCTAGAGGTTGTGGTATGGAATCAAAGATGATTTCACCTGAACCTTAAGATTTAATGTCATCGTGCTTATTAGCTTTTGGAATTATGCAGGACTTTTTAATCCTTTCGTCTTTCCTGTTATTTCATTTTGGAGTAGAATATGTATCCTCACTTCCCTTACCACAGTATTTCGGAAATGTTCAGTGTGCTTGATTTCAGAGATTTATAGCTGAAGAAGCATTCACATTGGAATGAGTTTTAAGTGTAAGACCCACAGATATCTAGGTAAGAGGACACTCTTGAGTTTAGAGCTTGCATTGGTAGTAAGTTAAGTCTTTGTGAAGTTTTAGAATGAAAAGAGTGGACTGTCCTAATGAGTGTTTGAAGTTTGATGGCAAAGACTGGAACACCGTGGTTTGACTGTGTTCCTCAAATTCATGCAGTGAAATCTGGTTTCCAGTTTGATGATGTTAGCAAACAGCTCCATGACGTAGAGCACTATGGGTAGTGAGGTCCTTATGAAAGGATTGGGGGCTGGCTTTGAGACAAAGCCATGCTTTTCATCCCCTCGTGCCTTTTTTTTTTTTTTTGGTCTTTTTTTTTAATTAAAAGAAGCATTTCATTACAACAGCATTAACCTATTCAATAACATTTTTCTGAGCTAGGGTACATCTCTTTCAAAATTGGCTGTACATTTCTAGGTTTACAGATGAATTATTATGCTTATATAATCTTTTACTCATTATAAACTCTATAAGACATAAAATTAAATGAGGTTCCAACAGCAGGATGACTCAGCAGTAAAGATACCTGCTACCATGCCTGATGACCTGAGTTCTATCCCCAGGACCCATGTGGTAGAAGAAGAGAATCAGCTCTCACAAGTTGTCCTCTAACTCCACACGTGGGCCATGACACGGGCACATACACATACACACACAC